TGTTTTTATTTGACCGGATACGACTTCGATCAATCATCATCTCTCATCAATGCAAGCAAGGATGCCATCACTTTTTTAGTTTTTATACTTATTTTTTTAATCATTTTTAGTCGTTACAGGTTAAGATAAATCTTTTTAGTTCATATACTTATAATTTTTTAAAAAATTAACAATAAAGACTAAAAAGAATTAAAAAAAGGTTAAAAAAATACATTACATTCCTATAAATTCTTTTAAAAAAATCTTAAAAATCATTATATTCTTATATAGTTCTTTTAAAAGTTACAATACTTTTTTATATCAAAATAGTCTTTTAAAATTTCAATATAAAAAACATCTCACATTATAATCCAATAAATTTTGAAAAGTAATTAATGAATCACTAACACTACTAGAGAAATGTCATTTTCCTGTGAATTTTCCTACAAAAAAATTCGTAGAAATTTTTTCGAATTTTCTTGCAATAATAATTTCACAAATTTTTTTTATGAATTTATTTGTGAAAAAATAATTTACAGATATTTCTTACAATTTTTTTATGAAGAATAATCTACAAGAAATTTTTGCAAATTTTGTTACAATTTTAATCATCATAGAAATTTTTTCCATGGTAAAAATTTGCAGAAAGTATTGTAAGAATTTTATTTTTTTTCTTGTAGATTTTCTTGCAAAAATAAATTTGCAAGTAATGTTTACTAAATGGTAGAAAAATTTGGCAGATAACTTTTCCTGCAGATTTTTTTTTCTTGCCAATTTTAATCTGCAAGAAAAATATAAAAAAATATTTAAATTTATAAGTTTAATATTTTAAAAAAACTTCAAGTCCCACATCGTTTGAAAATAAAATAATTATAGAGTATATAAGTTGGGACAACACTTATCTTACAAGTTGATTTGTATGGTTGAGTGTTAAGCTTATAATCTACAATCCTAGAGTTTAAAAGATTATGTATCACATGTTGGAGGCGTGGAAACAAATGTTTCGGATAAATTCATTGTGAGCATATTTGAAACTTGAAGAATTATTGATAGAATTTGTAGTAATTTCTTTAGTTTTTTTCGTAAAAAATATTCCTGCAGAATTTCTTGCAAAATAATTCGCAGGAAAATTTCTTGGGAATTTTAAAATTCGCAAAAACATATTATCTATGAAAGTATTACCTGCAGATAAAATTTCGCATAAAAATTTTTAGAAACAATGGTTCCTATGAATTTTTATGAAAAATTCACAGGAAAAGTCGCATGTAATAAGATAAATTCTAGTAGTGTAATCATCTATAAAATTAAATAGATAGACTGGATTTGATTCACTAGTTATTTTTATTGTAATCGATAAACTGAATGAATTTACTTGTAAGTAAATCAGATGGATAATGAATAAATAAATTCATTTACTATCTCTAATTTCATGTTTTAGTCTTGTAGATAACAAAAATGATTGGGAAAAAAAACTAATCAAAATAATGGTATATGATTGTTTACAAAGCCTGTTATCAAGGTGTTGCTGAAAATGTTTGGGATGTACATTTTGATTTGTAAATTTTCATATCATTCATTGTTCTCCTACTACATTTATCAACCTAGCTTAGGCCAAGAAATTAGCAGCACAACAATATTAAGGAGAAAAATAGATTCCATGTTATAATTTATTTAATAGAAATCACCTTCCACATTGTTGTGGTCCTTGTGGATATTTAAAATTACACAGAAGTTAATGAAGGCAACATCCAAGCAACACTATTGCATAGTGTTGTAGTGTTGAATATACAAGCTAGTAGTACTTGGTAATCTTTGCTGTTTCAATTATGAACTTGCCTTCCTTGAACTTCTGTCTTGCCTCATAAGCTTGGAGGTACTTCCAACCTAATTCCTCACCACAGTTGCTGCAAAATATGCCAGCAATAGTGTACATACCAGTTATGAGACTTCTATCTTGCTTTGGCCCAAACACAATGTTCCTTGCATGAGAGAACATAAAGGCTTTCCCAGATTTTGCCTGAGTAGCCAAATGTCATCATAAAACAGGGATGAAGCTAGTAGCTATTTCATTTTGAGTTGAAGCCATCAAACATAAAGAGTAATATAAAAAAAGAATATATTCTTTTATTTAAGAGTTAATTACCTATACACTGTTAGTGAAATTTTTTACACTGGCAATCAATCATATCTTTTAATAGTGCCATGTCAGTTCCTCATTTAATAAAATAAAAATAAAATAAACTAATTTAAAAGATATGATTGGTTGTCAGTGTAAAAAAATTTACACTAGTAGTGTATAGATGATTAACTCTTTATTTAATAGGTTCATTTATTATTAAGCTGAATTTAATCTCTTAATTTTAAAAAACACAATGTAATATTGTCCATTTTGTCTAATTTTTATTAAAAAATTAATAATTTATCATAAATAATAATTTGTAATCGAATGTCAATTCTTTTTAATTAATGACGTTAAATTTTTATATAGATGACACTAAAAAAATAATGACACACATCCTCACATGTGCAAAGAAGGTTGTTAGTTAAAATTGAAAAACAGAAAACAACATTGCGTTGTTTTTAAAAATTAAAGCGCTAAATTAAACCTTTTAATAATAAAGAAATCAAATTTAACTAATTAAATAAAAGAAATTAATAATAGTTTAACGTATAAAAAATACTATTACCTACATTCCTATATATATAAAATCTTTTTCATTTTTTTAAGTTACAATAATTATATCTTATTTAAAATATCCTTATTTAATAAATAATTCTTTTAGACAAAAAATAAAAAATATTTAAAATTAATTGGATAAAAATCTTCTTTCTCTTGTAAGGATTGAAGAAGACAAATAAATATAGAAATACCTTTTTCTTTTAAATATTAATTAATTAATTAAGTGGAAAGACAAAAGTAATAATTTTTAAAATAACTTAAATTATTGAAAATTTTAATGTTTTTTAATTTAATTAATTAATTTTTCTAAAGAGAATAATTTAGTTAAAAATATCTTAATTACTATACTAAAATTTAAAGAAAAAAGGTAATTTTGAAAGATCCTCAAACAAAAAATTAAATTACTAAATTCGATCTAAGAATTAAAGTAATACGTGTAAGAATCTATATTTAAATCATGTTCTCAGCTGTCATTTATGTAGTTTATACGGAGAAAAGATAGCGATAAAAAAAAGAGTAAATTTATGCGTGGTCCGTATTCTAGAGATGCATTGACCCGCGTTAAATCCGAAACCCATAACACATAAATTCTTAAAACATTATATTTGAATCTAATTTAATTATATAAAATTAATTTTTAAAATAAAAATTATTTTTTATTTATATATTTTTTAATTATCTTATTTTCTAGTCGATATAAAATTTAAATTTTTTTTTTAATATGACACACAAAAATTGAATATAATAACATTTTTTATGCAATCCAAACAAACAACTACACCGATGATATAGTTAACTTTTTCTGGGTAGAGAAACGAAAGAATTTTATTTTAGAAAATTAAAATTATCAAAATCCAATGTATAATGTTAGTCTGTTGGTACTAGTATTAGATTAAAAAAAAACTGAATCTGTTTTTATCTGAGATCTGAGTTGAAAAACTTGTGGAGCTTTCAGCAATTTTAGGCTCAGCCTTTGTGGTTTGTAAAAGAGATTAATTATTGCTAGCAAGTCCCTGCATATAGGAATGAAATGAATGAAGAAAAAAGAGTGAGAATGTTCGGTGTTAATTTCTATCATTAAGGTTTGCAGTTTAGGCAAATATATACCATCATATAATATAACCACATATATATATATATCTACAAAGTCCAACATAGAAAATAAATTGATCAAAGAATTATATGAAGAAAAATAAAATAGAATTGAGTATCTTGAAAAATAATATATCACCCGATAGCTTTTGGAAAGAAGTTCACCGCGGAAAGCAATAGGGTTTTGGCAGTTTTTGCATCTGTATGTGGCAGATGGATCACCATAAGTCTCCATTGAACTGAATCAAAGCAAAATGATACTGAATCAAATTAATGAGTTTGGATCAACACTTGGCATATCTATATGTAAGAGGAAGAAGACGTGGATAACTATGGTTTGGTCTATAGAGTCTGCATAAAATACATACTGACACTCACACTTGATAGAGACAATGGTAGGTGCCACGAAAGTGAATGCAAGACTTTTCATCTACTACAATAGTCAATCTTCCACATTTAGCCTTCGTTGAAAGGAGTGACCATAAAAATACACTTTTTTTACTATTTCTTTTTTATGATAGATAAATAAAAAATATTCATCATTTTATAAGTTATTTTTTTAAGATTTAATTAGATTCATAATCTATTTTTTATTATGGTATTAGAGTTTATTTTAACATGTATTGTTGAACATTGATCACCTGGATATACCTTAAATACATGATTCTAAATTTTAACTCACTTTTTAGGATTTTGAAAACACTATTTTTTTATTAGTTTAAAATTATTGAAAATCATACGATTTTAACATGTTATTTTATGAATTTTATAGTATTTTAACAAATTTAAATAATAATATACTAAAATATGTTTTTTGTGATAATCAATTTATTCTTTAACGGCTATATAAATGACTACTATTGTTTTTAACAACATTTAAATAATGACTGGTGTATCCAGGGTCGCTAATACTGTAACAACCTAATGTTTGACTTGTTGGATACTTGAGTTAGCCTTTTGTTTGTCGTCTTGTATTGTCTGATGCATATGTTTGTTCTTCATTTTACCTGTTCTTATGTTTTTCTAAAACACTAACACACTTGTTAGAGATAACAACATGTATTATATTTGTCTCACTCAAAACCTTGTTGTGAGTTTCTTCGTCTTACATAACACTGTTGTTGTTCTGGTCTGCTTTGATTCTCTATTGGGCCCTCAACGACCATTTGTCTTGTTTAGTATCCCTTTTTCCCTTAGTTCAGGTACCCCGAACGAAATTGGGTGTCTATAGCTGCCACTCTTTACTTTTCCTTTGGGCCTCTTTAGGCTAGCATTGAGTATTCTAGACCATCCTGGTCACGACCACTCCTGGTCACGAGTATTCTCAACCACTCCTGGTTGGCTAGCTTCACTCACTAGCTCTAGTATTCTTAAACCACTTCTGGTTCCCCAAGTATCCTCGACCACTCCTGGCCCGTTAGCTTCACTCACCAGCGCTAGTATATTCTTATCAGCCACTCCTGGCTAGTAGTGAGTATTATGGATCATCCAGGTCATAACCACTCCTGGTCCAAGTATTCTCGACCTCTCTAGGCCTGCCAGATTCAGTCACCAGCGCTAGTATTCTTTAATCAGCCTCTTCAGGCTCGTAGTGAGTATTCTTTGACAAGCCCCTCCTAGCTTTACAAGTATTCTTTTCCTAGCCTCTTCAGGCTTTACAATATTGGCTAGATAGGTTTGGTTTTAGTGTATGGTTTTCTCTCATAGAGAGGATACATAGATTTCTACACTCACTAATGCAACCTTAGTCTTTACAATGATTGAGTGTTTGGTTTACTCTCACGGAGAGGATACATAAGTTGTCACACTCACTACGGTTTGATCCTAAGATGTACATATTTGAAACTTCGTAGTTTACAGAGACGAATACATTGTGGTACATTTGACTCTATACACTTTATCTGTGGTTTCGTTGCATCATGGGCTGGATATCACTCTTTTTCTCGCTTGAACCATTTCAGGCCAAACAGCCAACCTTTTAAGGTTTGATGTTGAAACCTATATATAATCCTGTGAAATCTGCCCGTTGCAAGTGTCTGTTGAAGCAGATATAGTCGTTCACGACTAGTATGATCTTTTCATTTAATGCTTAGATTCTTGCATTAAATGTTGCCTCTTGTTATAGACCTTGCGTGAAGTATTCTTTGTCTTGGTAGCAATAATGTCTAAGTTTAGCAGAGACCTAGGAACCTTTTTTTTTCCTTTTCTGGTCTCATAGCTGTGGAATTTTGTCCTTGTCTAAAAAAGTAATGTACTTTTTCTTACACATGCATGCTTTTAGTTCTGCGCTTGATTTTCTCCTTTCTTCTTTTCTTCTCACAATTCTTATGACTTCGTGTGTTCTCCTGTGAGTGTGGACGATATTCAAATTTTCCTATGAAGCTTGATTTCTCAGGTGGTTGTGTGACAATTTTTGTTTGTGTCTGGTAGTCTATGTGTAACTCAAGCCTTGACCTTTGTCTAATCATTTGTTATTAACGCATTGACTTTTCCTTTCGTCTGGTCAACTTGTATATGGTCAGACTTTCAAATGATCTTTGACCAACCTTCGTCTGAGTCTTTATGTTTCGCTTTGGGTTGTGCTTAACGCAGTTTTGTCTTGTTCTTGATTTGACTTGTTGGATACTTGAGTTAGCCTTTTGTTTGTCGTCTTGTATTGTCTGATGCATATGTTTGTTCTTCATTTTACCTGTTCTTATGTTTTTCTAAAACACTAACACACTTGTTAGAGATAACAACATGTATTATATTTGTCTCACTCAAAACCTTGTTGTGAGTTTCTTCGTCTTACATAACACTGTTGTTGTTCTGGTCTGCTTTGATTCTCTATTGGGCCCTCAACTAAAATTAGGGTTAATAAGTTTTATATTTTAGACGTTTCAAATACTATTATCGGCACTTATATAAAATGTTAGTAAAAACCTACTAAATTGTTGGGAAAACTTATTTTTTTTAGTGACAATTTTAGTAGTCATTTTAAAGGTTATTAAAAGTTATTTTTTTCAATTGTCTCCTTTCTATTCATTTAGTGACTTTTATCTTTTGCTAGTAAAACCTTAAATAATTTATTCCTATAATTTCCTTTTCTAAATTCATAACTTATATACTTTTTTATCTCTAGTCAATGTAGGATTTGTAAGATGAGGGTTGTCTTCTATTTATATATTTTTTAATTGTCTTGTCTCTTAAGAGATGTGAGATTTATAAGGTGAAAGTTGTTCTCTAATTATTTTATAACACTATAGAACTTGGTAATAGTAGGTGATTTGATACCAATTTAGAATAGTGAATTAGGAGTCTAACTTAACCCTATAAAATCAACTTATAAGGTGATAGTTATTACTCACTTATATACTAGTTAATGATCTTATCCGTAATCGATGTGGGACTTAAGTTTTTTTCAATAAATAATTGTTGCTAATAGTAAACTTTAGTGTAATATAAATACATTTTTAGTGGCTATTATATATTAGCCATTAATATTTTTATTATATAATTAAATAGTGACAATTAAATTATTGTCATTAAATAATTGTCGTTAATAACAAATTTTGTTGGTGGTGTGTGCTTAGAGAAACGTATTAAAGAGTGTTGACGCTACTCTTATTGTTGACTTTTCTTTTACTTCATCTGTTTTTCTTATTTTAAACCTTTTATTTTCAATTTTCCAAATTAATTTCAACAAGTGTTTTTTTTAGTGTTATAGATATAGGCATAATAAGTACGGATTTGAATCATGTATGAAGAACTCGTTTTGTGATAAATTCAAAGGTTGAAGAACCTTTGAGGGATAACCTAAAGAGAAAGTTCTCTACGGTTTGGTGACTTTGAGAAGAGAGAAATTCTTGAGAAATTTCAGATTTCATTCATCAAAAGTGAGCTACAATGTGAGAATTACAAATATATAGGGAGAGGTAGCTTAGGGAGCAAGCTAACCTTAACCATGGTTCACTAGGAACCATGGTAAGGTCTCTTGGCCGTCCCAAGTGGTTTAGAAACTTGTGGAGCAAACTTCTCACTTAGCTTGCTTGGGAAGCAAGCTAAGGAGAAGCTTGTAGCACAAGCTTCTCAAGCCTAAGAGAATGAAGAAGGAATTCGGCCAAAGGAGGGAACTAGGCTAGGCGGCCATTTGGCTTGTTTTGCTTAAATCCGTTTTGATGAAAAATGTTGATTTGGTTTAGTTAGGTTCATCTAATGTTGATAAGACCTAGCTAAATCAAATCCTTTAAGAATTACTATCAAAACAAGTCTAATATGTAAAATTTTTCCTAGGCCCAATTCTGGCCCAATTACTAATCACACCCTCTAGCTTTTCTAAATGCCACCCCCATTCCTATTACTGAAAAATAGAAAAAGAGTGTACTTCTAGATTAGGTTAAATGGAGTCAAAGTTTCCAAGTAACCTACCCTAGAAACAATATACAATGAGAAATAAAAGCAAATAAAGTGCCTCACAAATACAAAGGCAAAAATAACCCTATACAAGAGAAACTATATACAAACTATACACAAGTAGAACTAGGCATTCTCTTCATGATAGAGTAGTCCAAGTGAAAAGTACATTGGGCTTAGAAAGCCCAGTAGTCTTCAAGAGGTCCAACTCTTCTTGTATGTTCCTAGCCATAGCTCTAGTGATTGGGCCCTTAGTCCATGGTCTATCAATTGATCTTCAACTTTAATAGTTGGATTGTTGAAATTAGGTCTGAAGAAAGAGATATTATCAGAACAAAAATGTTGTTTGGTATAAGACTCTTCTTTTCCAGCTGCAGTACAAGACCTCTAGAGAATTCATTAATCGTTAGATTACGCTTAAATTTTGATGATATCTTCTCAATATATTTATCTTTAACTTTAATGGTCGGATCGTCAAAATTAGGTCTGTAGCAAGAGATATTATCATAACAAAAATGCTGCCCAACGTAAAGCTCTTTTGGAAAAGGGAATGGGTCATTCCAAATTTGGAATGAGCTATTCCCAATTAGGGTTACATGCCAAATTTTGGGTTAGGTACAGGCCATTCTGATTTTGAAATGGGCCATTCCCAACTAAAATTTTATGTGCAATTTTATGGGCTAGAATAGCCTGTTTCGATTTGGAAATGACTCGTTCCTGCTTATATTTCATAGGCCATTTCTAGTGGTTGGAATGACTTGTTCCAAATCCAGAACGATCCGTTCCACGCCTGGAACCCTACTTTCAAATTTCTGGGCCTTCTTTTTTAAGTTAGCAGAAAAACACATAGAATGGGGGGGTTGAATATATGTGTGTGAGTACGAAGGAATTTTAAAATCTTTTTGGCAAGAGTAATCTTCTTCGTCCAATGCAATTTTAAATACCAAAGGTTATGCAGAA